TATTGGACCATGCAATAGGCATGTGCCAAAGTATCAGCTTAGGTGTTGGTGGGTATTGGCTAATTTGGATGGTGTTGGTGGGTATTGGTTAATTCAGATGGTGTTAGTAATGGCCTGAAATTGAGTATCTGTGTCGGCATAAAATTTAGTATCATTCAGTCATGACTGTGCACCCTGTTATGTCTTTCCAAAATTCATAAATGCAACCAGTAATTCCCTTTGTGTCTAAATACCATGTTGCTCACTTGTATACAGTACTGTAATGTAAACAGTCTATTCATCCCCTTCCCTTCTTTAATACATGTACAGTGGCACCTCAGCACTCAAACTGCTCCCTACTCGAACAAAGCTCAGACCTCGACCAAACAAACACGACCTGCCAGAACTTTGCTGTGAACTGTTTTGTGTTTCTTCGCATTTTTTGGTGTTTTTTTATATTACATGTATTTGTATAAATAAGTCACCATGGGGCCTACGGAGATTAGTGATAACAGCCAAACCAAAAAGAAAATTGGTTGGGAAGCATTCGTTCGATACTTGAATGGATTGGCACTCGAACAGCCTTCTGGAATAAATTAAGCTCAAGTACCAAGGTTCAGCTGTATTCCTTTTTCCTTTTGCAATTCTACAATTTCTACTTTCTGTACCTCACATGAGCCAAATGAACAATTAATGGCCAAATGTAGCTGGCACAGAGCAGGAATTTGAGGCATGTGTATGAAGTAAGTGATTAAAAAATTTAAATCTATTTGAGGGGAACTGGTTTGGCTGACAAGGTCAGGGGTTCCCTAGTGAGAATTGTCTTGATGGTTGTTTGCCACAAATGGGATGTGATGTGGCAAAGTAAGCATACATGAATATAAATACTACATGAATTGTAGCATCAAATCTGTATTTGTGTGAATGGGAGGTAGTGTGTTTTCTTGAGGGTCTTTGAACCCCACTGACATACACAGTTTTTTAGCACTTGATAGGGAGAACAACAGACCACAGTTATAAACCGCAGGATAAGGGGGGAAATGATGCCAATGGAATGAAAATATATCTTACTACCATAACTGCACAGTGATAGAATGCTGGAATGGGATCCAAGAAATGATAGTCAACAGCTGAACTTCATATATGAAGACAGACACAAGTTGCAGAACAAGCTTTCATTAAGACTGTTTCATGACAAATTGTATATAATTGTTTGAATAAATTCCTCTTCTGCAACTTGCATAACTTCCTACTTATTAATGCTGTATACCGTTTCATCTAACGGTTAAACTAATTTAACACAGAAGCCGGAGTCCCACTAGCACCATAACTCTGCATCTCTAAATACAAATACAGTGTACCCTTGGTTTTTGTTGATCTTGGTTATCGCTGATTTTGGTTTTCGACGACTTTTTTCATTGATTTTTTACTTTAGTTTTCGTCATTTACCTCCGTTTTCGTCGATCGTACGGAACCTGTCCAGTCCCCAGCGTGCAGACAAAGCCAGCTCCTGCACGCATTCTCAGCCAATGTAGTGTTGTTTCTCGGTCAGTGAACATACCCTGCTAGGTCATACGAAACATTTCATAATCACTGTTTTTGCCACTTGTTTATCGTGTGTGACTGCTAAATAAGCGACCATGGCCCCAAAGAAAGCTCCTAGTGCCACTGCTTTGGTAAAGAAAGTGAGGAACACCATAGAACTGAAAAAAGAAATCCTAAGAAAATATGATAGTGGCATACACATTGCTGAACTCGGCAGGATGTACGGGAAGTCGCCATCAACAATCAGCTCCATTGTGACAGAGAAAAGAAATCATGGAAGCTGATGTTGTGAAAGGGGTGAATGCAGTAACCAAACAGAAACCCAAACAATTGAAGTGGAGAAATTGTTGTTGGTGTGGATCAGAGAGAAGAGTTAGCAGGAGATAGTGTTGTGCAGTCCATTATTTGTGAAAAGGCAAGGCAGTTGCATGAGGACCTCGTAAAGAAACTGCCTGAAACAAGTGGTGATGAAAGTGAATTCAAGGCCAGCAAAGGCTGGTCCGAAAATTTCAAGAAGCGAAGTGGCGTACACAGTGTTGTAAGGCATGGTGAGGCTGCCAGTCCAGACAAACAAGCGGCTGAAAAATTTGTGCGGGAATTCAAATGTTATGTAAAGTGTGAAAAATTCCAACCCCAACAAGTGTTCAATTGTGACGAAACAGGCCTCTTTTGGAAGAAAATGCCAAAGAGGACCTACATCACGCAGGAGGAAAAGGCACTCCCAGGACACAAGCCTTTGAAAGACAGGCTAACTATCTGGTTGTGTGGTAATGCTAGTGGGGATTTCGAAGTGAAGCCTTTACTGGTGTATCACTCTGAAAATCCCAGTGTTCAAGAATAACAGTGTTGTCAAGAGTAAATTGTGTGTGATGTGGAAGTCAAACAGTTGGGCATGGGTCAGAAGGGAAATTATCTGGAATGGTTTAATGAAGTGTTTGGCCCCAGTGTGAAAAAATACCTCCTGAATAAGAAATTGCCACTCCAGTGCCTCCTGTGAATGGACAATGCTCTTGCTCATCCTCCAGACTTTGGAAGACCAATTGTCTGAGGAATTCAGTTTTGTAACAGTGAAGTTTTTGCCTCCTAACACCACTCCTCTCCTCTAGCCCATGGATCAGCAGACCATTGCAAACTTCAAAAAAACTATACACCAAAGCAATGTTTCAAAGGTGCTTTGACATAACCTCGAACTCTGAATTGACCCTAAGAGAGTTCTGGAAGAATCACTTCAGTATCTTCCACTGCATAGGCCTTATAGATAAGGCTTGGCAGGGAGTGACTTCCAGGACAATGAACTCTGCTTGGAGAAAATTGTGGCCAGATTGTGTCCAAAAGAAGGATTTCGAAGGGCTTGAGGCTGACCCTGTCGACCCTACACCTGTTGTGCAATCAATTGTGGCATTGGGGAATTCCATGGGGTTGGATTTGAGTTTGGAGGACGTGGAAGAGTTGGTGGAGGACCACAATAAAGAGCTAACCATTGATGAGTTGCAAGAGCTTCATCTGCAGCAGCAACAGGCCACAGCTGAGGAAATTGCTGCAGAGGAGGAAGAGAGGTGGAAGAAGGTGCCTTCTTCAAAGATTAAGGAGATTTGTGCAATGTGGACTAAAGTGCATTCATTTGTGGAGGAACATCACCCTGAGAAATTCAAATCCAAAGTTTATTCTCTATAAGGATTACAATGCTGAGGTTTACATAATTTGTTATTGTGGGTATACAGTAGTAAATAATAATTACGGTGTACCACTAGAACACCTCATGGCTAGGCATGTCGGCAGACTAGATTAAATCTTAGTTTAAAATACAGTGGACCCCCGAACGAACAATCGTTCATAAGCGTACGCTTTGTCACTAAAATTTTGCCCCATAGTGGACAAAAACCGTCAGCGACCTTCGTCACGTGACGCCTCCAATGTTACCAGCCATCTCCGCGGAGACACTTCCAGCTACACTCGGAATATTTCGTATTATTACAGTGTTGTTCAGTGCTGTTTGTGGAAAATAAGGACCATGGGCCCCAAGAAGGCTTAGTGCAACCCTACACCTACACATAGGGTGAATAACATTGAAATGAAGAAAATCATTGGTTGTTTGAAAGTGGAGTACGTGACACGACCTGGTCAGTTGTACCAAAACCAAAATAACCATGATGCATTTGGGCAAGAAGCAATCAATAGCTGTTGTCCAAAGTTTACTGTGTTTTCAACAGACGCAAGTGATGGAAATTGTGACGAGACTCTTTGGTGTGGAAGTAATGCCCAGAAAGGACTGCCTACTTCCAATTGAAGGGGATTCCTTCTAAACACTAACACTCTCTCTCACCTCCTCATGCAGAATCATCACCCAGATTCAATAAAGTAAGTGTCATGTATTGTGCATGCATTATCAGTTTGTGGTACTAAATTAACATTTTTTTGTGGGTAAAACATTTTTTATTTAATAACTTTAGGGTGTCTTGCACGATTAATTTATTCCATTATTCTTATGGGGCAAATATTCGCTAGGCGAACATTTCGCATAACGACCGCCCTTTGCCGATTAAGTTCGTATGGGCCACTGTATTACAAAATTATGAGGTAAGTTGGTATTATGGCTATGTGACTAAATACTAGTTTGTGAGTTTAGCAATGTGAATGCTTTTGTTTTGGCTCTATACAGTTTCAGTATTGGAGTATCACAGGCCAACTTATGACTAGTTAAGATTCATTATTTTGAGATTGAGATTGATATTTCTGTTTATGGTCAAATGGATGAGTGAGTGTAAGTGTGAACCACCAGGTGGTATTCGTGTAATTAGTTGACAGGGTGTATGAGGGAGATAAGATGTTTTCTGATGGTAGTTTTGAAGGTGATGAATGTGTCTGCTGTTGCAATCCGTGCTGGTGACTTACAATGACAATGCCATGTCCCATTTTAGGCAACTCTTAAGAGACGCCAGAAACAGACCTTTCTGGACAGGTATTTTGTGCGACAGGGGTCCAATGACTCTCAAGCTGGTACTAGTGACAGTAAAAAACAAAGGAGGGAAGTGACCCCAGATAAGGACTTGGTACCTAGAGTCCTTATGGAGGGGGATTCCCCTTCCAAACAATAACCTATCTTCCCTCCCCCTTCCTCCCTGCCTTTCTTCCAGCAGCAACAACAGCCTTCAATAAAGGTAAGTGTCATGTTTAATATTCATTCTTTTGTTCATGTAAATGTATATTTAAGGTAAAAAAAATTTTTTTTGTTGATACTTCTGGGTGTCTGGAATGGATTAATTCCATTTACATTACATATTTCTTATGGGGAAAATGGTTTCGGTTTTGGCGATGGCTCTGGAACGGATTAAACACGAAAACCAAGGGTCCACTGTACATAATCACACACCATAGAAATGAAAAGGGATTATTGGCAAATTTGAAATGTTCAAGATTTTTGTTGTCCAAGTTCTTGGTTATACAGCAGTGAGTTTAATATATATCACTATTTTCAGTTGGTGAGGTGAAGGCTAGTAGCCCTTTAATGAAGACATTGAAGCAGAGTAAGTATATTTACGCCATAATTTTCCTCGTGTTAAGAATTAAAAATTATTTGCATTTTATACATTTTGATATAAAGAAATTTTGGTAATTTTCTACTCAGATGTAATGTTGCTTTTTTGGTAATTGACTTTCTTGTTTTCAGGTCGTTTACCATTTTCCCTCTTGGATTCCAAGACCCCACAGAAGATAAAAAACTCTCCCAACCAAAAAAAACGTAGGTTATCAGATTCATGTATTCCAATGAAGTTCCCCAAAACTCCTCGTAATGAAAACAGGCAAGTAGCCCTTTCGTCTGTTAACAGTCGTAAGGTCCCCAAGTCAGGCAAGAAGCTTATTAAAGGGAAAACTACCAATGAAAAAGAAGATAATACCAAAAAGAACAGGAAAAGGGGTCGAATCACTTTAAAAGAAAAAGGGTCAACTCACCATGGGCATAATAATAAATTAGACAAATTGAGGTAAGATTTACATTGTTTATTTAACATTTATGCATGTACTATATGAGAACAGCACATAAATATTGTATATTTAACATTTATGCATGTACTATATGAGAACAGCACATAAATATTGTATATGCTTAGATTTATATAATGTGAGGGAAACGAGGCAGTTTCTTAAACATGCAAGTTAAACTGAGGTGGAGTGACCTGAAAAAGAAGAAAAGCATTCATTATCATTTATTCATTAGCTGTCTTGCTAGAAGTGTGCAGACAACACAGATCAAATGACCTTTTGAAGTGCACTATCCCCAACCCTGCTTCAGAGTGTAGACTGTACTTTTTACCTCAGAGACTATTTTGGCTAACTGGTTTTTCCCTGAATCCCTTCATAAATGTTACTGTGCTCTGTCCAATAGCACATCATACCATAAAAACTACTCACCTTCATTTGATCTGCTCTAGCATGCTCATACAAGCCTGCTGGATGAACTAGCACTTGAAAATTCCTTTACTCCTTTGCTATGAGGTATGGATTAGCTTTAAATGTTGAAGGAAGGAGGATGGAAGAAGTGGAGGAATCATGTTTGAGAGCAATGTGTGGCAGGAAATTTGAGCCTAGAAATTAGAAGGCAGTGTGGTCTTGCTAAAGATATAATTCAAGATGGCTGAGGAGGGACTGTTGAGGTGGTTTGGGCATTTAGCAAGGATGGAGCATAATAGGATTTATAAATATGTATGGAGTAGAAGGAAGGAGAGGTAGGGGCCATCCAAGGAAGGGTTACTTGCAGTCACTTCAAAAGGTCACTGCTGCCTGGAATCAGGCCCTAGGGGCCAGTCCTGATCTGGGATCAGGCCCCAGGGGGCAGTGACCTCTTCAAGCAACTGAAAGTAACCCTTCCTTGGATGGCCCCTATCCCTTCTTCCTTCTACTCCATATTTATTAATCCTATTATACTCCATCCTTCCTTCTAATTTCTAGGTTCAAATTTCCTGCCACACATTGCTCTCAAACATGATTCCTCCACTTCTTCCATCCTCCTTCCTTCAACATTTAAAGCCCATCCATACCTCACACCAAAGCAAGTATTGGTACTGCTCTATTGTATATTACTTTTTGCCTCCATAGATGAACTTTACACAGATGCCTCAACACACCACCTACTTTTTTTCCTTTGTCTTTCATGGACCCATCTGCCGATGTGTTCATTTGCAAATGTGAGTAATGTACGTTCAAAAATAGGATAACTTAAAGGGTGAATAACTTAGTGGAGGGTGGGCAGGGTAAGGGTCATCCTAGGAAAGGTTAGAGGGGGGGGGTAAAGGTGGTTTTATTAGTGAGAAACTTGGACATCCACCAGGAATGTGTGAGCATGTCAAATTGAAGTGAGTAGGGGCCAGGTGATTTTTTATGACTTTACATACTGTTGGAGTGTGAATAAGGAAACTCTTATGATGGGATTTAGGGAAATCAGTTAGCCAGACTTGAGTTCTGGAGGTGGGAAGTATAGTGCCTGCATTCTGAAGGTGGGGTGGGGAATATTGCGGTTTGTAAAGGTATCTGAGCTGTAATGTCAACATGCTTCTGGAAAAATGATGATAGTGAAGGATGATGAAAGTGTTTCTCTTTTTTTTCAGGTCACCCTACCTCTGTGAGAGACAGCCAGTGTGTTAAAAAAAATTCCCTTCCTCTATACGTCCTCCCTGCAGTCTGATGATCTTTTTTTATTCTCATCACTGCGCTCTTTTCTATTTTCAGTTTTAATTTTGTTTTACATTCTCTCTCGAATTTAGGTTGACTGTAGTTTCTTTTACAGGTGTTTGCAAATGTCATTTACAATTATTTCCATGATAACAAAGGCATATATTTTTCCAGTTGTCAAATGACATCAGATGAGGAAGTAAGTTCCAGTGTGGATGATGAAGTGGAAGTACCCAGAGCTAAAAAGAAGCCACTTGAGAAGGCCCAAACATTGCTTTCTGCTTTTGTTGGAAAGGAGCCCACTCAGCAAGCAGAGATATCCACTTCTACTGAGGACCCCTTGGATGAGGAAGATTTAGAAACTGAAGAAATGATGAAGAGTGAGGCTGAGATGTGTGTGGAGCTGAAAGGCAAACCTGGAAGCACTGCATTATATGAAAGTGAGGAGATTGAAATTAATGACAGAAAAGAAGGGCAAGACAAGTTAAATAAAAATGCTGATCATGATAGTGATGGTACTAAAGAAGACATTTTCATTGTGAATAATGTAAATAAAGCAACTAAAGATGATAATGAAGATAAGAGCTTGGAAAAAGTAACTGGAGAGATAGATAGTAGTAAAAAAAAGTTAGTCTCCAGAACTGATACAAAAAAGCTTATCAGAGATAGGAAAAAAAAGATTGTATTGAAACCTGGAAAGAAAGATGCAATTGTAGGAAGAGGGAATAAGAGAAAAATTCAACTGAAAAAGGTAAAAACAGATGGAATGCACTTAGATTCTTTTGAAAAGCAGTTAAAGAAAAGTGAAGATGATAATTTGAATGATGTTAGAAATGAGAAAGAAATGAAAGAAACAGAAAATGAGGATATTGGGAAATCAGAAGTAAAAGAAAAACAGGAAGAAAGAGTGGAAAAAGAGATACCTGACGATGAGAGCAAAAACCTAAATGAAGGTGAAAAGTTTGTTCCAAAATTGAGTAAAGAAAAGAACGAAAAGACTGATAGAGAATGTAAGAAACTCGAAGTGAGGAAAGGTGAGCAGAACGAGATGGAAAATGAGAAACCAGAAAGAAAGCAAGATCAGGATGAGGTGAAAGAGGAAGAACAAAAAATTAAGAAAGGGGGGGATGTGATGGAGTCTGAGACTGATAAATATAAAATGCAGAAAGAGGTACAGCATGAAGATATAGTGGGAAAAGAAGGAAAGCAGGAAGAGACTGATGTGGAAAATGTAATAAAGACTAAGGGTGAGGAGGAGGATGTGAAGAAAGAAGAGCCAAAAGTGAATGAGGTTGAAAAAGAGGAACCTAAAGTTGAACTGGGGAAAAGTGCAGACAGCATGCTAAAAGAGGGTAAGCATGAAGACAAGCAACAAGAGGAAGATGAAAGCAAAGGGGAAAAAGATCAAATAAAACTGAATGCAGAGCAGAATAGGAATAAGAAAGAAAGTAACGAATCTGTGGGTAATGTCAAACAAGACAGGGAAGAGGCAGCAAGTCTAGACACTGTGGTAAAGATAGGAAAAGTGGGAGATACGATGGAATCTGAGGAGTTCAGGATAAGGGAAAAGAAACAAATGGAGGATGTAGACTGTGAAATGGAAGAGCTTGAAAAAGAAAGTGAGAAGATAGAAGACATGAAGGAAGAAGTGGTAAAGGCTGTAGAAGAGGAAGTAAACACAAAATTAAAGATTCAAGAGGGTGTAAGGAAAGAAGGCACTGATATTGATGAAACAAGCTGTGAAGTTGATGAAAATAAGATTGGAGAAGTGAAAGAAAATCATATGAAAAAAAATGAGAAAACTGAGGCTGAAAGAAGAAAAAGTGATAACATGGAAAAAAAATTATCAAAAATACACAAATTTGAGAACACTAAAAGTGGAAAAGTTACAAGAATGCCACTTAAAAAAGATCAAACAAAAAAGATAACTAGTTATTTAAGCATGATGAAATGTCCAACAAAAGACCCAACAGGGAAAAGTAATTCTCAAGGTGAAAATAAGGAAAAAGTTGAAATAAAGGAAGATGATTTGATGAATGAGGAGGAAGAAAAGGCCAATCAAAAATGCATGAATGAATCAGTTGATGAGACAAATGAAAAGGGAAATGACTCGGATATGGATTCCAGTGAAAATGTAGACGCTACTGGGAAAGTATCCGATTCTAGTGTCGACTGTGATTCAGGTGTGTTAGGCCCATCTGCAGAACATCTGATCTCCAAGCCTAAGCTTAAAATTGGTAAACTAAAGAAGTTAACTCCAAAGCAAAGAGAGAGAGAAGCAGAGAGACGGTTAAAAACGGAAGAGAGAGAAAGGAAAAAACAGGAAAGAGAGAAAAAGAAACAGGAGGAAATAGCTGAAAAGGAAAGAATAAGAAAAGAAAAGGAAGAAGAAAGACAGAAGCAAAAGGAAGAAAAAGAAAGAATGAAAGAGTGAGTATTGAGGAAAATGATTGCTTATGCACTCTACATGTTTATGTATTTGCAGTTACCTATTTGTGATTACAGGATTAGCTGTTTATAGTGTCTGATGTGACCTGAAACTTGCATTGTTATAAGACAGAGGCTCCTTATATGTGTAATTAGTGCTTATTTCCTCCCTGTTCATGATCATGCATGCAAAAATAAATTCCTGTTTGATGCATGGCAATGTTCTGTTCATGTATATATCTGGTGTCTTGTAATCTGTAGTGGAGCTAAAATACAGATCAATATAGAGTAAAATAAAAGCAGGTATAAAACACAGTACACTACATTTAATTTTTTCTGTATTTTGAAATTCCTAACAAATACTAGTGACTAGTTTTCTGTTTTTTAATGACAACAGTTATAGTAAAGGCAAAGGGGACAAAAAAGAGTGCAAAAATTATAGGGGGATAAGTCTGTTGAGTATACCTGGTAAAGTGTATGATAGAGTTATTATTGAAAGAATTAAGAGTAAGACGGAGAGTAGGGTAGCAGATGAACAAGGAGGCTTTAGGAAAGGTAGGGGGTGTGTGGACCAGGTGTTTACAGTGAAACATATAAGTGAACAGTATTTAGATAAGGCTAAAGAGGTCTTTGTGGCATTTATTGATTTGGAAAAGGTGTATGACAGGGTGGATAGGGGGGCAATGTGGCAGATGTTGCAGGTGTATGGTGTAGGAGGTAGGTTACTGAAAGCAGTGAAGAGTTTTTACGAGGATAGTGAGGCTCAAGTTAGAGTATGTAGGAAAGGGAAATTATTTCCCAGTAAAAGTAGGCCTTAGACAAGGATGTGTGATGTCACCGTGGTTGTTTAATATATTTATAGATGGGGTTGTAAGAGAAGTAAATGCGAGGGTCTTGGCAAGAGGCGTGGAGTTAAAAGATAAAGAATCACACATAAAGTGGGAGTTGTCACAGTTGCTCTTTGCTGATGATACTGTGCTCTTGGGAGATTCTGAAGAGAAGTTGCAGAGATTGGTGGATGAATTTGGTAGGGTGGGCAAAAGAAGAAAATTAAAAGTGAATACAGGAAAGAGTAAGGTTATGAGGATAACAAAAAGATTAGGTGATGAAAGATTGGATATCAGATTGGAGGGAGAGAGTATGGAGGAGGTGAATGTATTCAGATATTTGGGAGTGGACGTGTCAGCGGATGGGTCTATGAAAGATGAGGTGAATCGTAGAATTGATGAGGGGAAAAGGGTGAGTGGTGCACTTAGGAGTCTGTGGAGACAAAGAACTTTGTCCTTGGAGGCAAAAAGGGGAATGTATGAGAGTATAGTTTTACCAACGCTCTTATATGGGTGTGAAGCATGGGTGATGAATGTTGCAGTGAGGAGAAGGCTGGAGGTAGTGGAGATGTCATGTCTGAGGGCAATGTGTGGTGTGAATATAATGCAGAGAATTCGTAGTTTGGAAGTTAGGAGGAGGTGCGTGATTACCAAAACTGTTGTCCAGAGGGCTGAGGAAGGGTTGTTGAGGTGGTTTGAACATGTAGAGAGAATGGAGCAAAACAGAGTGACTTCAAGAGTGTATCAGTCTGTGGTGGAAGGAAGGCGGGGTAGGGGTCGGCCTTGGAAAGGTTGGAGGGAGGGGGTAAAGGAGGTTTTGTGTGCGAGGGGCTTGGACTTCCAGCAGGCATGCGTGAGCGTGTTTGATAGGAGTGAATGGAGACAAATGGTTTTTAATACTTGACGTGCTGTTGGAGTGTGAGCAAAGTAACATTTATGAAGGGGTTCAGGGAAACCGGTAGGCCGGACTTGAGTCCTGGAGATGGGAAGTACAGTGCCTGCACTCTGAAGGAGGGGTGTTAATGTTGCAATTTAAAAACTGTAGTGTAAAGCACCCTTCTGGCAAGACAGTGATGGAGTGAATGATGGTGAAAGTTTTTCTTTTTCGGGCCACCCTGCCTTGGTGGGAATCGGCCAGTGTGATAATAAAAAAAAAATAAATAATAGTTATAGTAACAAGTTCATTAATGTCATTGATTTTTTTTCCTGGACAGTAATGCCAAGCGGCAGAAAAAAGAAGAACAGCAACGCAAGGATGAAGAGAAAAAGCAAAAAGATGAAGCAAAGAAGCAGGCAGAAGAGGAAAAACAAAAACAAAACGCTAAGTTGAAGAACAAATTTGCCAGTTTCTTTGTTGCTAAGAAGCGCGATGTTGGTGAACCAGATGAAGAGAGTGAGAATGGACTTTTCAAACAGTTTCGAGTAAGAATCTTAGATTAGAATATAATGAATCAGTTTTTGTGAAATGCAGAGATATTTTCATTTGGTCAGACGGTTTGGAAGTTGCTATTTTGAAGTCATTTTGTAAAATATATATTTTGTGGTTTTGCTCTTGAGGTTTTTTGTTCTTTTTTGTAATCTGCTTCTCATATGAATAGTAACAATGAGAGTATTAGCGATTGAAATCTCAAGAGTAGATGCAGTGATTTCAAATGGGACACAAGGTGAGGTAAAATGAAGGGCAATAATTTATTAAAGGGTAAGTGTTGGAAGGTCAGGTATATTAAGTGTAAGTGTTGGAAGGTCATTTATATTAGGTGTAATTGTAGGAAGGTCAGGTGTATTAGGTGTAAGTGTTGGAAGGTCAGGAATATTGGATGTAAGTGTTGGAAGGTCACGTATATTAGTCGTAGGTGTTTTAAGGTCAGGTATTTTGGGTGTAAGTGAGACTTATTTAGAAGTGAATTCAGAAAAGGATAATTTAAATGTTTGGGAAGGCTTGGATGGTGGAGCAGTTTGGTTGGATGTAAGACTTTAATGTATAGGCACCAAAATTGAATGGGTCAGATGTAAGGTAATTATAGGCATGCCTTAATGTTTTGCCATTGTTCCTGTATTGAGGAAATTTAACTTGGAGAAGTAGAGATGATGATTTGGGATGTACAGTATTTTTTTTTTTTTTTTTTAAGATCATCAATCTCCCACTAAGGCAGGCTGACCCAAAGAAAACTCCTTCACCATTATTCATTCAACTGCCACTTTCCAGAAGTGTGCTGACATCACAGTTGGATTACCCTTTGACTGCAACATCCACACCCCTCCTTCAGAGTGCAGGCACTGCTCTTCCCACCTCCAGGACTTGTCCGGCTAACTGGTTTTTCTGGATCCCTTCACAGAGATTACTTTGACCATAAATTAAAATTCACTTGTCTCCATTCACAATTATTTAACCCTTTCAGTGGCCACCACTTAGAACTAGGTCATTGAGGCCAGGGTCCCTCATGTAGTTCTGCATCATGAGTTCATCTCATTCAGATCAGCTGTGAGCTGTAAATTTTGGCCTAGATAGGAGAGAAGGGGTCTGTACGCATGTGGTGCATGATGGGGAAAGCAAAACTTTGACCTTGTGTATGGTAAAATAGCAACTGTGAGGTGTTTTCTTGGATGGTTCTTAACCCTTTCAGGGTCCAGAGGCCAAATTTCGAAAGGTACATTAGTGTCTAAGAATTTTAAAAAAATAATTTTGTTATTTTTTCTTATGAAATGGTAGAGAATCTTTTTCTGAAGGTAATAAAACAAAAAGTACGAAATTTGATGGAAAATTGACGAAATTATGCTCTCGCAAATTTTGATGTGTCAGCGATATTTACGCATCGGCGATTTTGTGGACTTTGACTTCCATTTTAGGCCAATTACATTACTCCAGTCAACCAAATTCTTAGCTATTTCACTAGTATTACTTCTGTTCTATCGATTGAGTACAAGAATTCGCCAAGTCAACTGTTTCAACTACAAAATAAAGTGATCGGAAATTGGTGATTTGGCCAATTTAATGCAAAGTTCAAAATGCTCCAATTTCAAAATAGGGTCCAGAATAAACAATGCAGGCATTTCTGGCACTAAACTAACATTTCCTCTGTTCCTTAGTTGCATTTTCAGGCTTTACTAATGAATTCCATTTTGTTTTATTCACATAATGAATTTTTATTCAAACCAAAAAATAGAAGATTTACTGTTACGAAATATTGTAATAATTGTATAAATAATATCAGCACATTTGTGAACATATATTAGACCCACCAGCAGGCGTGTATTAGACGTGTGAGGTCATTTGTTTACTCTTGAACATCGGCAAAAATTAAACATTTCCACTACTTTGAGCTCGGTTTCAAGCCATTTCCAGTACTAAAACCAATCAAAATCATCTCTATTTCTGTAACATGTCTTCCATTCTATCAAGTGAGACCAAGAAATCGCAAATACACCTATAAAAATATACAAAAAAACACTGCAAAGTCGCTGTTTTAATAAAAAATTACGGCCTTAGTTTTTTCTCTCATTATGCACTATGTGCTGCAGGATTTGTTTTATGTGGTGCACACATACCACATAGATGTATTCTCTCATATCAAGACCAAAATTTACCGCTCACAGCTTACCAGAGTGAGCTGAGCTCATGACGTTTGGACCCTTAACGTAAAGCCGTAGATCTATGGCATGGACCCTCAAGGGGTTAATGTTTTAGTAGCTGTTTCTTGATATCATATGATAGAATGGAAAGACATACTACTGAAATAGAGATCATTTTGGTTGGTTTCAGGACTGGCAGTAGCTTGAAATCGAGCTCAAAATAGCAGAAATACAACCTCTCCTCACTTAGTGACATACTCGTTTACCGACGCCTTGGACTTGCAACGGGCTGTCTGACCAGCATTCATACTTAAATAGAGCTGATTTTCTCTGTTCTGTTTATTTCAATAAACGGTACACTTCTGTATAAACATTTAAAAAATACGAGAAACGTCATAAATGGTGCAAAGGTGACATTAAAACAATATGAAAGATGGTTGACACAAACTCACTACCATTATAGTATGCTCCTCACTTAGCGAAGAATTCGTTAAACCACATGGTCTTAGGAACAGAACTCAGTCGTTAAGTGAGGAGGGGCTGTATTAAATTTCTTCTCATTTTCCCGAGGATGGGTAAGGAATGCCCCCCTACACTACGCAGTCTGTTTTATTTGTTTTTAATGGGTCTCATTCAATTATTAGGACACCGTAAACCATAACCAATCAGTTCTGGTTATATTTTATGAACCAAGAAATAGAGTAATACTTCTGTTTTTGTGTGATTGACTTCAAAATGGAAGGCAAGTGTAACATAGGAGAGGCCTGTGAGCATAATTAATGAACAGAGGATATGTTGTCAGAAATGTCTACATTGTTTATTTTGGACTATTTTTAAATTTTATTTTATTAATTTTTGTTTAATTTATGGAGTAGTTGAAATAGTTGAATGGCAGTTTCTTGTGCTCAATTGATAGAATGGAAGGCATGTTAGTGAAATAGCTAAGAATTTGGTCAATTGGAGCAATGGAATTGGCTTAAAATAGAACCCAGTGGATGAAATCACTGATTCATAAATTGCATGGGACCACTAACTTTGCACCTGTGTAATTCCATAAGTTTTTCATCAAACTTTGTACTTTTGGTGTAATTACCTTCAGTAAAAGATTCTCTACCATTTCAGATTTTTTATAAGTGGCCACAGAGCAATATTTATTTTGGGGTTCTGGACAGTGGAAAGGTTAACACACTTACACAAGCTTGCTGGATGCTTAAGCCCCTAAAACTCTTTCTTTTAGCCCTTCCAACCATTTCTGGAATGGCCTCTATCACTCCTATCTTCCAGCCACTGTAACATAGCTGAATTCCATCATTACATGTACTGTTCATATTCTGGTTTGTTGGATGTTTAGTTTTGGCTCTGCAAAAAATTCTTGAATATTTGTTTTTGTAGTATTGTGCTGTGTTTTAGACAACTTCATTGAAATTTAGCCATCAATCTACCTGGAACATAAGAGCTCAAGAATTTTTTAATAGATTCTATATTCATCAGACATAAGATCCCATTTAATTTTTAAATATTGGTATTTTGTGCTCCAAAGTTGCTCTCTGCAATGAAATTAATGTTGGTCTGTATTTTAAAACAATATTTATTATTTTTTTTTTTTTTAACATGTTGGCTGCTTCCCGCCAAGGCAGGATGACCCAAAAAGAAAAACACAAAAAGAAAAGAAAAAAACTTTATTCATCATTCAACACTTTCACCATCACTCATACATAATCACTGTCTTTGCAGAGGCGCTCAGATACGACAGTTTAGATGTTCCTCCACACTGCCAATATCCTAACCCCTCCATTAAAGTACAGGCATTGTACTTCCCATTTCCAGGACTCAAGTCCGGCTAACTGGTTTCCCTGAATCCCTTGACAAAATATTACCCTGCTCACACTTCAACAGCTTGTCAGGTCCCAAAAACCATTCGTCTCCATTCACACTCGCGCATGCTTGCTGGTAGTCCAAGCCCCTCTCCCACAAAACCTCCTTTACCCCCTCCCTCCAACCTTTTTGAGGACGACCCCTAAACTGCCTTCCTTCCCCTACAGATTTATGCACTCTCCAAGTCATTCTACTTTGTTCCATTCTCTCTAAAACTACCTCAACAACCTCTCTTCAACCTTATGACTAATACTTTTAGTAGTGCCACACCTCCTAATTTCCACACTACAAATTCTCTGTATAATATTTACACCACACATTGCCCTTAGACACATCATCTCCACTGCCTCCAGCCTCCTCCTCGTTGCAGCATTTATAACCCATGCTTTACACCCATATAAAAGTGTTGGTACCACTATACTCTCGCACATTCCATTCTTTGCTTCCATGGATAACGTTTTCTGTCTCCACAGATACCTCAACGCACCACTCGCCTTATTTCCTTTATCAGTTCTATGGTTAACCTCATCCTTAAATAAACCCATCCACTGACAAGTCAGCTCCCCAATATCTGAAAACATTCACTTCTTCCATACTCCCTCCCTCCAATGTGATATCCAATTTTTCTTTATCTAAATTGTTTGGTACCCTCATCACCGTACTCTCATCTGTGTTCACTTTCAACTTTATACCTTGACACACCCTCCCAAGCTTATCCATTGACCTTTGCAACTTTTCTTTAGAATCTCCCAAAAGCACTGTATCATCAGCAAAAAGTAACTGTGTCAACTCCCATTTTGTATTTGATTCCCAAATATTTAATCCCACCCCTCTCCCCAACACCCTAGCATTTACTTCTTTTACAACCCCATTTATAAATATGTTAAACAACCATGGTGACATTATACATCCCTGTCTTAGACCTACTTTTACTGGGAAGTAATCTCCCTCTTACACACCCTAACCTGAACCTCGCT